AACCCTTCCAGAGCTGTGTGTGTGTGTGTGTGTGTGTGTGTGTGTGTGTGTGTGTGTGTGTGTGTGTGTGTCTGGATGGATGTCTACTAGCAAGCCTTACCCACAGGTGACTAAGCAGCTGCCTGTACTTTAGGGCTTCTCCCATCTCCCTCTTCCAGCTCCAGCCTGAGGCTGCCCTGTCGTCTTAGGCCCTAGCTGTCTAACCTTAGTATCATAAGAAACAGCTAAAAGTGTAGGGAATGTAGTTTCATTGGTGGAGCACTTGCATAACCTGCATGAAGCCCTGAGTTCTAGCTGCATAAACCAGGTGATACATGCCTGTAGTCACAGAACCTGGGAGATGGAGGCAGGGCAATCAGGAATACAACATCATCTTCAGCTATACAGAGAGTTTGAAGCTAGACCCTGTCTCAAAAAACAAAAAACAAAAAACAACAAAAAAAAACACTCAGAAGGCTATTAAAATCTAGGCTTCTGGGAACTGGAGGCTGGAAAGATGGCTTTGTGCTTAGGAGTACTTACTGTTCTTCTAGAAGACTTATATTCAGTTCCCAGCATCCAAATCAGGCAGTTCACAACCACCTGTAATTCCAATTCCAGGTGGGTATCCAACACCCTCTGGCTTCCACGAACACCAGGCATGGACATATACTCATGCAGGCACATACACATAAACATAATCATAAAAAGAAAGAATGAATGAATCCAGGTTTCTTGCCCCATACCCAGACTTTCTGACTCAGTAGAACATATGACTTGGCTTCGTGATGGAGTGGTGGTCCTCAGACCACATTTTGAGAATAACTGGTTGAAAAGATAGAACCACAGCTGGAAGTAGAAGATGAAGAAGGAGTCTCCTGAGTCCTGTCTGAGATCACAGCCTCATCCAGGTGGCCCGGGCTTCCTGTCCCATGCCAACACTTGGAGGTGGAGGCCTGTACCTACAGCTGTCCACAAGGTCACTCCACAAAGCCTGACTGAGCTCTTCTCCATGACAGATGGCCAGCTTGGCTGGGCAGTGAGAGGGAAGCCTCAAGGAGGATGTTGTGTTATGTTGTATTAGTCACATTTCTCATTGCTGAGCCAGGAAAAGAACAAGAAAGGATGGGTTTATTTTGGCTCACAGTATAAGAATACACAGTCCATCATGGTGGAAAAGTCATGGCAGCAAGAACTTGAGGTGGTTGGTCACATCACACCCACAGCCATAAAGCAGAGAAAGGTGGAGGCTACTGCTTAGCCCACTCCCTCAGATGTGTGCCCAGAGGCTTGTCTCCTAAGTGATTTCAAACCCTGTAAAGTTGACAGCCATTATTCCCATCACACTCAGAGGAAAGCGTGTCTCATGGACCGGTTCCCACAATGCAGCAGGACAGACCCTTTTGTCAGTCCTGTGTGAGCGCACATGCTCACGCCTGCTTGTATTTCTGCCTTTCTCCATGTGTGAGCAGGTTTGGAAACTTGGTTTTTCAATCAGGACAGGGCCTGAAAGGAGGGGCAGAGGGGACGTTGAGCAGTAATGGCTCTGGAGCTGACATAGGTCACAGGTCTGTTTGGCTTTTTCTTATGGAGCCTGTTTCCAATCCAGTACTCAGCCCTTAGCCAACAGGCCCTGTAACTGTAGCTGGCCCCAGTCTCGCCCAATTCTTTAGAGACAATCCTGAAGTGGTTTCAGCTAAGGCTTGGGGTTTTTGTTTTGTTCGTTATTGTTGTTTTGTTTTTTTGAGAAAGGGTCTCATTGTAACCTCAGACTAGCCTCAAACTTGCTATGTGGCCCAGGGTGACCTTGAATTCCTGATCCTCCTGCCTCACCTCCAGAGTGCTGCAATTACAAGAGAGCCAGGCTGGGTTTATGCTGTGCTAGGAATCAAATCCAGCGTCTGGTGTGTGCTTCGCAAGCGTTCAACCAGCTGAGCCACGTCCCCAGTGCTCAGCTCAGGCTTTGGTAGCACATGTATGACATGAGTGAAGCCCAGGTGAACAGGTCTGAGGAATAGACAGA